CCTCCTCCTCCTCCTCCTCCTCCTCCTCCTCCTCTCGCTCAACCCTATCATATTCGTCGTCCCCTCTCTCTCTCTCTCTTCCCTCCTCCTGCTTCCGCTGCCCCTCCCCCATCTGCCCAGCGGTTGGCGGGGCCGTCGCGGTGGCCGCGCCGCCCCAGCAGCCGCGGGTTCCAGTAGGCCACCGTGGGGGGGGCAGCGGCGGGGGGGGGGGGGGGGGGGGCATGCCCGTGGGCCGCCGGGGAGGCGGGAGGCCACGAGCCTCGAGGGGCCTCGCAGGAGGAAGAACACGGAGGAGGAGCAGGGAGAGGGAGCAGGGGGAGGAGCAGGAGCAGGAGAAGGAGGGACGGGAAGAGAGAGAGGGAGGAGAGGGGAGGAGGAGGCGGAGGACAGAGAGAGAGAGAGAGAGAGCGAGAGAGAAGGGGGAAGAGGGAAAGGGAGAGGGAAATTGAGAGGGAGAAAGAGAGAGAAAGAAAGAGAGAGAGACGACGACAGCTAACTAACTGTATGTGTATACACATATCCACATTTAGAATGGGAGTGGATGTTCAGAGAGAGGAAGAGGGAGAGGGGGGACAGAGAGAGGGAGAGTAGTATAACATGATATACCTATACGACCACCCTGCGGGTGATAAGGAGGCTGGGGGGGAAGGGGCCAGCAATGGGCAACAGTGGTGATTGTTGTTCTGACGATGCCAGTGGAGATTGTTGCGTTGCCGCTCGTTCTTGGGAGCCTTGGTGTCGAGTTGTTTACGTCCCCCTTCGCTCTTGGGCGCCTCGGTACCATTCCCCCCCCGGGAACTAATGAAATAATCGCTCTCACTATCGATCGCACAATCGATCTCACCATCGATCTCACTCGACCGATCTCACTATCGATCTCACTATCGATTTCACAATCGATCTCACAATCGATCTCACTATCGGTCTCACTATCGTTTTCGCACCAGCGGGACACCGGGACACCAGCGGGACACCGGCGGGACACCGCGCGGCCCCGTTTGCCAGTCGGGAAACAGTTGCTCCGGCCGCGCCTCAGCCACAGGAGACTTACCGGGACACCAGCGGGACACCGGCGGGACACCGCGCGGCCCCGTTTGCCGGGGGGGGATCATTTGGTCCGGCCGCGCCTCAGCCACAGAAGACTTTCCTCTCGCCCGCCCACGCAGCTTCGCCTCGATTGCACGCACGGCACGCACGAACACGAAACCGAAACCGATTTCCCGGTTGTGGGCTCTCCGTTCCATTTCGATCTCACCACCAACCTCCGACATACAAGTCTATATACATGTGGAAGGGAACATATATTTATATATATATATAGAGGGAGAGAGAGAGAGAGGGAGCGAGGGAAAGAGAGGGAAAGGGAGAAAGAGAGAGAGAGAGAGAAAGAGAGCGACAGCAAACTAACTATCATTATATAGGTGTAGAAGGGATATATACAGAGAGAGAGAGAGAGAGAGATGAGGAAGAGGATGCTTGGGGAATGTTTGAGTCATCTCCTGGGCTCTCCCGTGGGCTCTAGACGATTTCAGGGGGCTTTCGCTGGCGCCGATCGTCTCCTTTTCGTCGCTCCCTCCTCCTTCGACCTCCTTCCTCCTGCCTCCTTCCCAGGTGCAAGTGCGCGAGCCTGGCGTAGGATAGGAATTTCTTGGTATGGAAGACGCCCCCACCACGACGTCATCGTTTCGTGTTTCGTGCTGTGCGCGCGACGAGCATGCGAAGCTGCGTGCCAGAGCGCTGGCCAATAGGGCAGGCGGATGCTGCTGCGTCTGTTCCCGTCGGCGCTGCGGCGGGGCGGGGGGTGCGCCACGTCGCCGCGTCACGGTGCGGCGGTGTCGCTGTGTCGCCGTGCAGCGGTGTCGTGGCGTCACTGTGCGGCGCGATCGGGAGTCACAGATGGATCTTGGAGCCGGCTGGGGTCTAAGGTTGCCCAGCATTGGTTCCGGCCCGTTGAGTGGGGACGGGGTTCGAGGTTCTAGGTTCGGGAAGGTTGTTTACCCTTTTCGGTCTCTGGGGTTCGTTTTCGGGCCCTAGGACCGTCAAGAACCAATCCATGGTGAAAAATTGCATCAGATGGACCCCAGGAGGGGTCCAGGGACCTATTTTGAACAGATTTGCCGTCATCCCCACCTTGAACGATTTTCTCGGGGTCCAACCAGCTCAGACCTCCGGCTGCCTCCAAGATGGATCAATGTTGAACCGAGTGTGAGCCCAGTGAGGTTGCCAGCGTTCTTGTGAAATGGACGACTCCACAGCCTGGCTCAGCATTGGTGATGTCGCATCTCTCTTCGGTTTTGCTGTCGGTGCTTCCATGGAGTGGCCCGGACACCCGCATTGAGGGCTGGCGACGTCATTTGCTGCCCGCGCTCACGTCCGTCAGTTGCCCTCCCCCTTCTCCCACATTGCGCCGGGAAGAAAGATTGCGAATCGGGTGCGCGCCCATGGTGGGTGGATCGCGATTCAGTTTTGGACAAGATTTGGATAGGCTGTGGATCGCGCA